ACTACTGTTTCCTTTTCCAAGGTTCCCTTTCAGGGCATCCCTGACTTACAAGGCAGACAGCAGCTCTCTTTACATACTCTTCTTTCATGCCTTCTTATCTCTTACCTCTATGCTTTCTTCCAAGCCATTTCTTATTTATAGAATATCTCTACATGGTATCGCTTTTGTGATTTAACACATCTTATTAACTCCACCTCTTCTCAAGGCAGCCTTTCCCAATTATTTACAAAGTGATAAGTATTCACTTCCAAACGCTTATAAACTATCTCTTTACAAGCTTTACAAGGCACTATCCTACAAAGCAGCAATGAAATTACTTAGTACCCAGAATGAAACATACAAATTACAACCTACCTTGTAAAGCCAGAGACAGAGGGAACATAAGCATAAACAAAACTAGTGCAAGTGTATTACTCATTCATATTTACCATGCAAAATGAAAGTTTTATGAAGCCTTGAATAATATATATTTGCTCTATTATATAGGCAACTAATCCTCTGGAAATGGTAATGAATCAGTATTAACACCCTCCCTAGTCTAGAATTTCGGAACACGAAGAGAAGGTTTTGAAACTTCTGAGAGAGGGATAGATCTAGAATCTCTGAAGGGTTTTCCTGCCGCAAGCCAACTAGCCCTTAGATCCACGACAACAAATCTAATTCTTAAAACATTGCTGGGCTTTGAAGAACACAGAGAAACTAAAAAGGGACTAAAAAATGGTAGGGGAAGAAGGAGGAGTAAAGAGGGAAGAAGAAAGGAAGCAGAAGACAAGTGAGCCAAAACCTGATCTGTGAGCAACATGCAAAAGAAAAAACTGCAGAATGCCAAGGAGCTGATGGCAATACTAGCGCCAGGATCTACAGGTGGCTGTTCCCTCCAGCACCCAGTCCCCAACCATGGTAAGTTTAGGGAACTCAACCTGAATTTCCATTCATAAACCAGAACCCTCAAATGGAGCTAAAGTGCCCTCAATCAAGAGCATTCCCAGACTCCCGGCAAAAGCAAAGACAAATCTTCTGGGAGAAACCAGAATTAACAAACATGAAATCTGTAGTCATTCAGTACCACTCTCAAAATCAAATATCACAAAATATGCAAAAAAGAAGCCACTGTGAATGAGAGGCAGCTGAAATAACAAGCATAATTAGACAAACACTTCAGCTACTAGGATTATCACATACAAAATATGAAATATTGTGCAGTAAATGTTTAAGAAAACAAAAGATGTCTAAAAATGAACAACGATCAAGAGACAATCGAAAGCAACCAGCCACGTAAGAATGCCAAACCAAAAAAGCTGTTAAAACATGAAAAAAAATCATTGAAATGTACAGCTCAATAGATTGGTAAAGTAGCAGATTTGTTCCAAAAGAAGAGAGTCAGTGAACTGGAAGAAAGAACTGAAGAGACTTCCCAGAATGCAACACAAACAGATTGGGGGAGGAGAAAATAAAAGCAAGCTTAAGAGACAGGGAAGATAGATCAACAAGTTTAAATAAGAATCCTAGAAAGTATGGCCAGAATGAACAGAAACATATCAATATTTGAGAAGACGATAGCTAAGAATGTTAGAGAACTGTAAAACATGAATCCAGAGACATGAGAAACATATATATACCAAGTAAGATAAGAAATCTTCAACTAGATATTTTGTAATTAAACTACAGAACAACAGACACAAAAGATCTTAAAAGAAGCAGCCGGGCACAGTGGCTCATGCCTTGTAATCCCAACACTTTGGGAGGCTGAGGCGGATAGATCACGAGGTCAGGAGATCGAGACCACCCTGGCTAACACGGTGAAAACCCGTCTCTACTAAAAACACAAAAAAATTAGCCGGGCGTGGTGGCGGGTGCCTGTAGTCCCAGCTACTCGGGAGGCTGAGGCAGAAGAATGGCGTGAACCCGGGAGGTGGAGCTTGCAGTGAGCCAAGATCGCACCACTGCACTCCAGCCTGGGGGACAGAACGACATTCCATCTCAAAAAAAAAAAAAAGAGGCCAGAAAGAAAAGCCATTTAAAGGAACAACAATTACATCAAAAAAACAGAGTTTAAAGCCGCTACAATGGCAACTAGAAGATAGTAAAAATGTGGCATAAATACTACTCCTCCTCCTACTACTACTACCACCACCACCACCACCACTACTATGGTATGTAATATAAAAACTTCTTGAAGACAAAAATTACCACCACCACCACCACTACTATGGTATGTAATATAAAAACTTCTTGAAGACAATAAAGACCATGCTAAGGGAGATAAAACTGAAGGGCTTATGACTTTTCAAAGAGAAGCTTCTTTGCCAATACATTTTAAAACTTTGGCAATAAGAACAAATCCTTAGAATTCTCCAAATTCTTAGAAAAATATATAACTTACCAAACCTGAATCGAGAAAAAAAAAGAAAAATCTGAATAATACTAAAACAAATCTAAAACTATCAAAGAAATTGAATAAGTTGGTAAAATCTTCACATAAGTTAAAAAAGAACCCCAGTTTCAAGTGGTTATACAGGAAAGGTAAACAAACTTTCAATGACAGCTCATTTCAATCTTATAAAACTATGTTATACAACAGAGAAAGAAGAAATGCTTGACAATAGGTTTTATAACCATTATGACAGGACCAGTCAAAAACAATATGAGCATGAGAAAGAAAAACTGAGGCCAACCTCAGCTGTGAACATAGATCCAAGAATGCAAACAAAATATTAGTCCAGGCTGGGTGCAGTGCCTCATGCCTATAATCCCACAACTGTAGGAGGCCAAGGCAGGAAGATCACTTGAGCCCAGGAGTTTGAGACCAGCCTGGGCAACATAGGGAGACCCTATCTCTACAACAAATTAATAAGAAAAAAAATTAGCTGGGCACAGTGATGCACACATGTAGTCCCAGCTACTCGGGAGGCTGAGGCAGGAGGATCACTTGAGCTTGGGAAGTCAAGGCTACAGTAAGCTATGTTCACGCCACTGTACTCCAGCCTGGGCAATACCCTGACTCAAAGAATAATAATAATAGTAATTAGTCCATCCAAAAATCTAGAACTATAATTCACAATATTAATACTCAAGAAAAATCATCATCATCTCAATCAAGTTTTTTCAAGAAAAAAAATTTAAAAACCTCAAAACCCATCTAAGATTTTTTAAATACATCTCAAACTAGGAATAGAAACAAACTTACTTAATTTGATAGAGAATCTACCAAAAAGTTACAGAAAATATTACTCTTAATGTTTGACATTAACAAAACTCTCTTTAGATCAAAAACAAGATGACCCTTTATCACTTCCATTTACCAATGTACTGGAAGGCTGAGTCAGGGCGGAAAGCAGACCAACTGGCAAGTCTGTTCATTCCTTACTCACAGACAATCTGTCTACCAAGAAAACAAAAAATCTGTAGGCAAAACGTAGGAATTAAACAAGTCACATATATTTACCTAATCCAGCAGTGGGAATGAATAAACGAACTAAATTTAAAAACATGGATAAATCTTAGAATTAATGTTGAGGGTAAAAAGCATGTCAAAGGTGATTATGTACCATAGAAGATCATTTCTATTACACTCAAAACCAAACAAAACCACACAAGAAATTATTTAAGGGTATAAATATATGTGGTAAAGCCATTTTTTAAAAGAAAGAGGATGATAAAATGCAGGGGAATGACTGCCACAGAGGTGAGAAAGGATGGTGGAATAGCACCTAAGTAGTTTTTAGTTCCTAAAATGGGGAAGGAGGAGGGTGTCAAGAGTATGTGCTTTATTACCATGCTTCCTAACTTACATATGTTATAGATTCTTTAACCATTACATAAATAATATAATTAAGTTGATAAAATAGTACAAATGATGGTCAGTAGATACATATTTAACTAACACACTTAATTAAAGCTCCTGTTAAAAACAACTCACTTACACAGGTTTCATTCAAAGGAGGGTAACCAAAGGAAACATAATAACCACTACAGAATATGCAGTGAATCAATGTGTGTACTCTGGAAAGGAATACAGCTCTCAAAGGAGAGAAAGGGGAACCAGGGTTATTGAGCACTAGCCATGAAGACAAGTCCTGGGCTGGAAGTTTCCCATATTTTGTTTTTTTCCATAAACCCAGAAAGCCCCTCATCATAAGGCCCTGGAGAACTCTTCTACTGTAGGAGATCTTTCCTACAGTGGCTTCCCTCTAGAGCCAGCTCTGCACCTGTTCACATCAGGCCTTTCCTTTATAGCCATAAAAGTTCATCTTCTCACACCAACCTAAGCATACACCTCTCAAACCAGAAATAATTTCTCAAAAACCAACAATTAACTTTCAGAACCTATAATTCAGTTCTGAGTGTGTTCTCCAGGTACCCATAATCTGGCCACTTAACTAATATATTTGGACAAGAAAGACTTTAAGCTTAATAAGTCAAAAATCACACCCAAACACTGTTTCAACATTGAAGATATGATCAATGCACACAGATATACAGATGCATAAAAATCATAACCTCACTAGTAGAAAAATATAAGTTTTTGCATGTCGGATTTATATATATGTATATATATGTGTATTTATATGTATCGATGAATCATCTCCAATGTTAGAGTATAAGAAATTTACATAAGACTTACATATCAGTTTATATAACATTTTTAGGTATTTTTTATTTTTATTTTTTTGCAGTGCAGTTTCTCAGTGTGACTATATGACCTTTTGGAGAGCAATTCAGCAATATCTGCTACCATTTAAGATGTGTGTACTCTTCCATCTAGTAATTTCACATCTAGGTACCCATACAGGAAAAACTTTGACACGTTTGCAAAACAAGAAAATCACAAGAAAATTCTTTGTAGAACTGTTTGTAAAAGTGGGAGGGTGGGAGGAAGGAAGGAAAGAAAAAAAATATGTCCACCAATAGCCATTTTTGTCTTCAAATAAAATTAAAGATCAAAAATACTTTATTTCCAACAAGAATTATAAAAGTTAAATAAATTCATCAAAACTTACTTCAAAAAGGAAGAGGATGGAGTCCAGCTCCTCCCTTTGTGACTTATTATTCCCTGGAATATTAAAAAATAATTAGTTATCATGACATCATTTAAACTTTAGGACATTACAAATTATGCTAACAGGCAGCTTAAAACTAGTAAGCCTCAACATACATTCATTTATTCAAAAAATAGCAAGAGGCAGTATGGAGAACACATTAGGATTGCAAACAGACAACCGAGCCAGACTGCTTGGATCCACATCCAGCAGAGCTGCCCCTTGCTAGCTGTTTGAACACAGCTTCCATGTTTTCCAACTTGTGACCGAACTATGATGGGTAATTTATTCATTTCTCAACTAGTTACTTATTGGCTGAAATTGTGGCAGAATGCACAGCACAAAGAAAAATTTCTAAGTTGGTAACATAAAAAATCATAGAGCAGATAACTATAAAAGTAGTATATCTTTTCGGGCAACTGTACATTGTTCTATTGATAATAACAATAGTAATAAAACCTACAATACCTGCAGCAGAGGTTACCATTTTTTGTCCTCTCTGTGTACCAAGCATCGTGCTAAGTGCTTGACATACGTCATTTAATATAGGAATCAACAAACCTCTTCTGTAAAGGGTCAGACAGCAAATATCTTAGGCTTTGCAGGCCTCTCTTACAAACACTCAAATCTGCTGTTACAGTACAAAATCAGCCACAGACAATACATAAATGGATACGGCTTGTACAATAAAACTTTATTTATAAAACAGGCAGCTACAAGCTGTAGACCCCCGATCTAACTGAATCTCCACAGCTCAATGAAGTAGATATCATTTACTCATTCGTTGAAAAACTACTACAGAATGTCTATATGCCAGGGATTATTCTAGGCCCTGAGCATACAGGAGTGAGCAAAACAGACAACAACTCCTGCCCTCAAAAAGTTAATATTCTGGCAGGAGGGGGCATTCTATAAATGAGCGAGAAAAACAACAGGGAAGGCAGATAGAGAAGCCTAAAAAGATGGTATGCAATTTTGACTGGGGAATTCAGAGAACATCTCTCTGGTAAGGTTACATCTGAGACAAGATCCTTTGAGGTTAGGAAGCAAGCCATATGGAAATGTGGGGGTTTGGAAGCAAGCCATACGGAAATTTAGGGGAGGTGTGTTCCAGGCAGAGGAACTGAACAATGCAAAGTCCCTGTAGCTGAGCATGGCTAGCATAGTCAGAAAACAGCCAGAGGCCCTTAAGGCTGGAGCACACAAGGGGCAGAGTTGGAGCAGCTGAGGTTGGAGAGTAGGTGAGGCAAAGGAAGGCAGATTAGGTGGACCCTGAGACCACTGTAATGGCTGGGAATGAGAACCCATTTGAAAGTTTAGAACAGCCAAGAATCATGATTTGACTCATATTTTTAAAGGACTCCAGCTGCTCTTTTGACAAGAAACTATGGGATGGGAGAGGGCACAAGTGTGGCAGTGGGAGATCATTTCTGCGGCTAATGCTATAATCCAGGTGAGGATATCAGGAGTTTTAGTGTTACCAGTGTAGGCAATGAGAACAGGCCGGTGATTCTGGATGTATTTTGAAGATAGAGCCAATAACTCTGGAGTTTTTGCCTGAATAAATGCAAAGGCTGAAGTTATCACAAGATTATTTATTTAATTATTCCTGGTAGGCATTTTCTTTTCTTTTTTGGGGTACACTGTCTTCCCTGCACTCCAATCGAACACAGATTATACTAAAAGCAAAAAAACTTCAAAAATCTCACTATTTTTATTGGCTCTTCATTATGATTCTTTGCAGTAGATTGCAAGAATGGCCACAATCAAAGACCACCGCAGTGCCTCACCCTGAATTCCTTCCGCTCCATGCTTGACAACTGCCTCTGTTCTATACGAGCAATCAGGGCATCTGACAAGGGGTCCCTCAATTTTTCCTCTCCATCTCAAAATGTCTCCATATCTACACTATCCCCTTATCTGCTCCTCCGTACATAGAAAGGCCACCTGTACACTCCTCTCCATGTCTCTTCTTCTTCCTTGACCTGTCTCAACCCACTTCCCCCAACACCTGCACCATCAGTTATCCCCCACTCCAGCTGACCCACTCCTCAGTCTGCAAACAGGCCGATGCATTCCTCAATAGCCTGTCCATGACCAGGGTGAGACACAATCTGTGTCTTCACATCAAACTTTCTGAAAGGATATTCTCATGGGTCACCTTCACCAGCTCACCGCCCTGTGACTCTATGTTCATCTGTTTGGCTTCCGACCTGCTCCTCACCTAGAACCTTTCTCTCAGCACTCACTGACCAGCACACTGAGGGGTTCTTACTCCCCAGCCCAGCTGCATCTCACGCACCAACGGGCTGACCCTACATGACTTCAATTCTCTCTCCCCTGGGCCTCTGTGACAAAACCCTTTCCTGGCACCCCCTCCCACTACTCCATCACTTTCCTTTGCATATACCCAATAAAAAAAGTAATTATCTAAAAGTTCTGACCATCACTCTCTTTCTCTGTATACTTTTTCCCTTGGCAATAGCATGGTTTCATCTCTTTTCTCCCAAGATCCAGTCACCTACATTGTACCGTCCAGCCAACACCTACACCAAGGTATCCCCCAGGCACCTCAAACACAGACTGCCCAAAGCCACTCTCACCCTCCTGCCTTCCAAATCTGGCTCCCCTCCAGGGTTCCTACTGCTAACAGTACCTCACAAAGCAGACTCAGTGTCCTGAAAGCATCTTTGACTTCTCCCTTTCCCTTATAACCAAGTCTCATAGATGGTAGATCCACTGAGACACAACACTTTTCTTTTCCCTTAACTACTGCCTCCCTGGATCAGGCATCACCATCCCTCACATGAATGATAGCATCAGCCTTCCAATTGGTGTTCCTGCTTCTAGTTCACTTGCTACTTTACAAGACACTTGTCATAGTAGCAAACGCTTTCAAGAGCTCTAACCACCTCCAGAACAAAGTCCAAACTCCTTAGCCTGCAATTCAAGGCTCCTTGCAAGCATTATCTAATTTCCTGCAAATCTCTTTCACACACCTTTGCTGCAAGAGGAAAAAAAAAAAAAAGCTTTTCCCATACATGTCGTAAGAACAGCCCTAGCTCTACTCACATTCTCCCCTCCACCAGCAGTGCCGCTCTCTTCCACCTGAAATCCTGCTGTCCTTCAAGGTCCATTCCCAAGGCCACCTCTTCCCCAAAGCCTCATGTATACACTCAGCAGGAAGTCATCTCTCTCACTTCCCAAGAACCACAGAATTCTGTCTAAATGTCTTACAGAACAACTAACTTTTTAACTTTTTTCACAGTTATTTATGCATATGGCTTATTTTTTAAATGAATGAGTAACACCTACTTCATAGAGCTATAGGGATTCAGATTCAGCCCACAGACTACACGAAAATGAAGGAAGACGGTGACGGCAGCTACTACTCACTGACCATGGACTATGTGTCAAACTCTGTCCTAAAATGCTAGGATACCTGTGAACCTGTTTAATGCTGACAAGAGGACGCCAAAGAGAAACGGCCAGAAGGGTGGGGCCGGGTTCCCAACCCAGTCTGGCTCCCCAGGCTACACTATCCTGCCGCTTAGGTGACAGGATGTATAAATGTATACAGAACAGAATGTATAATGTGACCTTGTTGGTTTGATTTTCAAAGAATATAGTCACAAACATATATAAACATAATACACTAATAATATATCTGGAAGGAGATGCAGGAAATCTTTCATAGTGCTGCCTCTGCAAGCAGGGCAAAACAGACAGTTGAGTTTTCCTTTCAGGTCCTTTTACAGAATCCAAATTTTTTAAACAGTACGCATGCATAACTTTTCTTTCTAAGTAACTTATTCCTTTGAAAATCATGCTCTGTAAGGGTTTCTTCTGCTGTTTTTGCTAGCCATGTGTTGTTCAATTAACATGTGTATAAGTGAAAGCTCAAGAGAAACAAAGATGCCACCCTGTCCACCAGGCTCTCACAGCTTTGCTAAAGTCTTGGCAAGACAGAAGGCTTAAAAATGTATAATTTGTAGCTCAAGATATACACAACTTATAAAAATGCCTGCATGTTTAAAAAAAAATACACAGAAATGCTTACCTTTTAATTTCAAACTATTTTCCAGTGTTATAAAATTTTCATAGAAGATGAAATATATCTGAGAATAGTTGGTCTCAAAAAACTGCTTAAGATCACTTGCATCCACATTATCTGAAAAGAAAAAGTTTCCATTTACGACAATTCACTTTATACAATTACCAGAATTTAGAAACAACCTTCTCTGAAGAGAAGGCAAGTACAACTAGTTTCATTCTGTTATAAGACAACACAGAACAAAACAGTATTCCTGTTTGTTTATTCTCCACCTAAGAGAGTTCTTAATTGAACCTTGGGTACCACCCATCACTCAGCCCTGCTCAGGAGACTGTGGGGCCAATTCAGGGAGGTCGGAGCTGACAGGCGCCAGCAACGACAGACCAGCTAGAAGGTCGGAGGTAAGCAGGGGCAGGTCTGGGGAGGGACAACATGACTTCCTGTTAGGGGATGAGGAAGTAGAGGTTCATGAAGGAGGCAGTTTTTGACACAGGCTGTGAAGAGGGGATAGGGTTGTATCTCTGAAAAACAACTTTGCTGGTGGAGCTCCTAAATGGACCAATTTCTGCTTCCTCCCCACCAACATACCTCTCTGGGCATGAAAACAGAAACCAGCTCAAGTGAACTAGCACAGGCTCCCCAACCACAAGCTTCTAGATGACCTGCCCCACTCATGTATGGACACTGTAGGACCTACCACGTGTTCCTAGAGTTGCCCCTGTTGTACTAGACAGTTTTGCTAAACCACAGACTGCGGACAGATAGGCGGGGGTGTGGGAAACTTAGCACAGTGACAACTCCCACTGGGGCTGAGTAGCAACACAGGCAGTTCTTCCAAGGGCCCCGGTCAGCCAGGGTAAAACCTCACAATGCTGGGGGTCAAAGTAGTCACCAACTGTCAACATACCTTTGTACATTTTCCTCAGCAAACAAGGTTGTTTGTGCCATTTACAGTCCTGACCAAGGAGTTGGCACTTTGGGAGAATACACTAGCACTTTGGGAGAATACACTAGCACCTGAGGAAAAGTAAAAACAGCTTCCTGGAGCCAGGCATTGTAGCTCACACCTATAATCCCAGCTACTTGGGAAGCTGAGGCAGGGGGATCGCCCGAGCCCAGGAGCTTGAGGCTACAGTGAGCTATGGTTGAGCCACTGCACTTCAGCCTGGGCAACATAGTGAGACCCCTGTCTCTTAAAAACAAAACAAAGCAAAAAACAAACAAACAACAAAAAGCTTCCTTAAAATTCTGCAAGGATTACTCAAGAAAAACATGTGTTGCTCTTCAGTCTGTAACAGTGTTGTACCAATTGCCTTTGCAGTCCTAACACTGAATCTATGGGAATATACATACTATGGTGTTCAAATTACATAATGTTAGCAATAACGCAGATGATTCTGAAGAGTTGTTTTTCTCTGATAATTGTATAAGAGCTTTTCATGCAAAAATGTGCCCTGGCTCTTTGAAATAATGCATGTAAGGTGTTTATAAAGTCTTATGAGCTGCCAATTTCACACTATATTTACTGCACCAAAGTAAAACTGGGCACAGAGCTGTGAAAATTCCTAGCAAGGAACAAATTTACTGTGTGAAAGCAGGTAGCAAGGAAACTAGTATCATCAACCCACACGAATATTAACATTCCTGTGAGCTACACAATCTTGCCAAGGAATCCTTGAGTGCCTTGTGCAGAATCTGCCAGTTCCAAGAAAGAGTTCAGTACACTTCAACTCTAATGCAAACTGCTAGCCCATCTACCACTCACTGAGCCCTCTTTCTGAAGCCGGCTTCACTCAGCTGGCTCCCACTCCCCCTCAGCAGTCAGCTGAAACATCCCCACCTTACCCCCAAGACTAGGTCTGCGCCTCTGCTGTGTAGCCCCCACTCTATGCTTCCCTGTCACAGAACACATCACATTTTACTTAATTATGGTGGAATTCTGATTGAATTCCTGACTTAATTCTGAGGGAATGCTCTGTCTCCTCCGTTAGACATATTCCCTGCCCTCACAGAACCCACAGTCTATCTCATGAATCATTATGTCCCATGCATCTAGCACAATATTTAGTTCAATATTTTCTTGAATGAATTGAGAATTCATGAATTAGCCTACACATACAATGATAATGACTATACCTTGTAAACCTACAAGAAACAGCCTAACCCTCAAAATCCTTGGGGAAATCAAAAGACAAATCTTATCTCTGCTGAGGACTCCTGATTTCCATCTGCAGCCCTGACATCTCCCACTGTAGGCTCTAGTCTCACAGCCTGCTGCCAGCTGATTCTCCACATGAGGATCTTAAAGCCCTCTCAAATTAAACGTGTCCAAAGGGAAGTCCTCCATCAGATCCTGTTCTTCCCTCAGGCTCTTCCATCTCAGTAAGTTGGAACCTCCATCCACCCCGCTGCTCTGGCCACAGCCTGGGCATCACTCCTCACTACCAATCCCCAGTATGCCATTCTATTAGCCTGCCTTTATCACGTACATGTTCCAGCCCTGGACGGCCTTGCCTGGTCTATGTGGCCACGAACCCTCACACAGGCCGCGACCTCTGCCCATTGCCTGGGTTCCCTGCTTCCACTCTTCTTCCATTCCCCGTAGCAGCCAACACGAATATTTAATAGAGTCAATCAAATCAGATCACTCCTCTACTCAAAACCTTCCATCTGCCTCCAGTAGGACTTAAAATCCGAAATCTTTACCATGGCCGGCAAGGCCCTGCCCGATTTCCCCCACTCAACACCAACTTCACTGCACACCACTCTCCCCTTCACTCCCTATCCTCTAGCCACTGTGGATTCTTTCCATTTCCCAAACTTCCCAAACACATTCTCCACTTGGGGCCCCTGCAGGATGCTACCCCCACTCCCAGATCTTCATGCAGCTGGTTCAGTGTATGAGACAAAGTAGCAAATGCAGACACTATGTCTGTTCATCCTGCTTACATAACAGCAGAATTCCACAAAATCCCTTGCCAGCAGAATTTTACAAAGCCCCTGACTCAAAGACTCCGCACAGCCCTTCAGAAGAATGCCCTGAAGATAATAAGCAGGATACAGCACCGGTTCCCACATCTCCTGCCTGAATCACGGCATTTTCAGAAAAGATAGATTCGTCTCAGCCCTTGCCTCTTCCTGCACATAATATCTGACAGCATTAATGATTATGCCTCTATAATCTATAACCAGATGGACCCTCACACTCAAACCTTGATAAGATTTTGCTCTAATGTAATTTCCGAGCACACTTAATGTAACTTCTGAGCACATTTAATGTAACTTCTGAGCACATGCAGAGTGCGCCACCTGTATATAAACTGTGGGCTAAAGTACTACTTTGGAGCAGTCAAACAGACACTCTCTTGACTCGCCCTGGTTGCAAACCTCAGCAAGACTTCTGAATAAAACTAATTTTAATTGTTTAAAAGCATCAATTTTTTTTCATCAACAGGTCTCATCCTTCAGAATCTGGATCACACATGACTTCCTCAAAGAAATGTGCAAGTGCCCCTATGTGTCACTCCACATTTCCTCCTCTCCCCGGCCCTCTCCCTTGGTAGGCTCTGCAGTGAATGTGCCTCAGATACAGAATGCCATAAGCTGGCAAACAATTTCTCTAGCATGGAGGATATGGGTGTGCTGATGCAGCAAGCTGGCACAGAAAGCTACTGCGAGATCAACAAGTCCCCATCTTTCCCTCCCTTACTCCCTCATTCCCTCAGACACTCAAATATCAGCAAACCAAACAAAGAGGGTCCTCATCATGTTCAAGGATCCCTCTTATACACTGAGATGTCCTCATGAGGCCAAAGGTCCAGGTAACAACCACCTTTATCCTCAGCCATCCAATATCTTTCTTGTGGGTAAGGCATTGGTGGTGTTGAGCTTAAGTGCTCACTAACAAGACAACTAGATACGTTCCAGGGAACCCAACGCACAGTGAACCTGGAAGCACAGCATCTACAGCACACTCAAGTTTATGTACATGTGTTGAGAACTCCTCATTGGTCTGGGCATCCTCTTCGCGTGATTCCCCCTGACAGCATTTCAGATGAGTTGAAATCATCCCTTTATTAATTTGCTGCCTCACTGTCTGGCTGCTAGAATGTAAGCAGCATGAGGGCAGAAATCTCATCTGCTTTGTCCACTGTTGCATCCCCAGCCTGAAGAACGGAGCTTGGTACATGAAAGGTACTTGACACATTTGTTAAATGAACAACCAAATAACAAATATCAGATATTTTATCTTTAATTCAAAATCTAGAATCATTTCTTGATTTGTCTTTTTTTTTAAAAGACTCATCAGAAGAATATTTATAAAGTAAGCATAGGTCTCAGGGAAGGCAATCACAGGCAATGGAATTTAGCAACCTGCAAAAAGAAACACAAGAAAGGATCAAAAGCCTATTTTTAGCAAGGCTAATATCAAGAAACATAGAGATGTAACAGGAAGGCTTTGCTCAATTTAAAAAAAAAAAAAAAAAGATGACAACTATGACCACAAACTTCCTTCAGACAGGCATTCCTGACCCACTCATTCAAACATTTACTAGCCCCTATCCATGCCAACAAGTGCTGTGTTAAGCTCTAAAAAATTCAAAGAGAATAAGACCCGAGGCCCTCAGGGGTGCACAGGTAAACAAGCAAGTAACAGAATAGGCACCATGGCTGAAGCCCATGCTGGACACCACAGCAGGGAGTGGATAAGGCCACATGGGGAAGCTAGGAATGCTAATGTCATACATTTATGTCATGCTTTATGCTTTAAAGGAAATGTTCATGAGTTTATTTTATTTGACCCTCACCATGGCCCAATGAAATAGATGGGCAGGTGTGATTAAGAGAAAGAAACCTCAGGGTCAGGATCTCACATGACCTGCCCAAGGTAACAGAGCCTGTTGGCGACGTCAACAGAACCCCTACCCTGGTCCTGCAACTCCATACCTGAGTAGTAGTACAAAGGCCTCAGGGACAAATGGGAATAAATCAGTCAGGAATATAAAAGAAATAAATCATTACCTTGAGGATGAGCAGGAGAGCCAGAGGAGAAAGAGAAGGAAGGAAAGCCCAAGGTAAGAAAGAGGAGTGAGTGACACTGAAGAAGCAGCTCATGG